GCCCTTCGAGCACCTGCTTGGTTAAACTTCCATTAACTCAACAATGGGATGAAACACCGCCAGGTCGAGACTCGGTGGTCCGCTGCTGATCTCGGGCTCCACTGTGGCAAGAAAAAAAAACGTCCCCTCGTGGAATCAATGAGGTGTGAGAGGGAAAAGGAGATTTCTCATTTCTGCCCATGTCTTTGATGTAAAATGAGACATGATGGATTTTATCAACAGAAATGGAGCGCTACCTTCATGTTTGACATTTGAAGTCACTCCCTGACAAATGTCCCCTCCATAAGTTGACCTTTGCATTATTTGTTTAGCAACCTTTGATCGCTGGGCTACGTTAACCTATTGTGTGCGAAAGCAACAAAAATGATGTTCGCCACGGACCCGGTCTGTGAACATTTACTAATGATGAGTAAACACGTTTGGCCCATGCTCACTGAGCTGTGTCTGCTTCTGGTTCTGCATGACTGGAAAGTCGTTGCTTGGGGTGACAACACGCACTGGAAAAGTCATGGTGAATGTATTTCAGGCTGTGGGCATGGCTGAGCAAACTGCAAAAATGTTTTAGCACTGTTCTGTTTATTATGCAGGATAAAGAGACTTTTGGAGCAAAACTCTGCAAAAAAGCTGCAGTGTTAGTGAAACTATATCACTTCAACTATAGATATAGTTTTATTAAGTTTTATTACAACTTGTATTCCAGTGTAGTATTGCAGAGGTGGTTGTGAGGGATTTCACATAACAGCTACTTTTGTGTAACTTATGCCACAAATCATTATAAGTTTATCCTGAAGGACGTGATATTTGTTGAAATAATATGATTCAAATTCCACAGAAGCAACAACTATTTGCCTTCTAGATATATAAAGAAGACAAACACTCTACTGCCATGCAAAAGGTTCAATGACGATGTGTCTCCATGTCCTCTTCCAAAATAAGGCAAGGTCTTACCAATACATGCACTCGACCAATCGTGAGCCAGTCGCAGTAGTCAATCGTGACATTTATCTCCACTTTCATTGCATTGACGGACAAATTCAAACCAAACAAAAAAAATCTTTGAGAAAAGTGAATTTGACATGGATTGTGATGTTTTATGTATGACCCATGTCCCATCCTTTAACATGGAGGAGGCCAGGTTTATGACCCATAGTGCTGCTAGCCACCAGGTGGCGATCAAGATACTTTGAAATCACTTAAAAAGCAAATTAATCTAATTTTAAAAAACATTTCCAACTGTAGTTTGAGTGCTAAAAAAAATTTGGAGGAACCTGGTTACGTTTATGTGAATTCTTCATCCAAAGCATTTTACTCATAATCGGTGTAAGGTACATTTTTTGAGCCCAAGTAGCCACATTTACATTTTTCCTCCAAGCAAAAGCTGAACTGTGACAAATTCAAAATATACAGCCTAAGAGCATCAGACCCTCTGAAGCAGTTATGATGATCCAGTTGTGGCCATGTAAAACTTGTTAGAAACTGACTTGTGGAAAAAGCGACATCCCTAGAAAGTAGTGAAATGATCATTTAGAGCAGCAATAATGTGAAGGTTAGTGTCTCCAACAGCAGCATCTGGAGTTTTCGTCCATCCATTGCTGCAACCTCACATCTAAAGTTATTTAAGGTTTTCCCTGAAGCAGTCCTTTTGAAACCAAAAACATTTTGCTGACTGCCGCACGGACTTGGCTGAAAAATTAGTTTTGCAGAATTTCCCACATAATTCCTCCTGGGAGTGGAGTCGCACAGCATCTGTGGAGCAGCCAGCAAATGGAAAGTGGGACATATTCGGTTTTGCAGGCCGAACAGGAGGAGTAAATATTTAACATTGTCAGTGTATTAAATAAGAAAATGCACAGGGAGGCATGACTGGGCAGAATTAAACCTGCTCTGTAAGTAGCCACTGTGCCCCAGCGCACACGCTCCGTATCCCCCTGACTCGTGCTAACAAGGTTCCAGCACCTATTGTGGAACTTTTTGGGTGATTAATATGCACGCTCACAATCTGAGTCTGCGCACACACACATTGTCAAGAATCATCAGCGAACGATTACACACCAATTAATATGGATGTTTGGTTATCAGTATGCAGAGCGCCTTGTAAGCTGCAATCATTACACTGCAATCACTGAATAATTCCCTGTGGCTCTCTGCGTGTCTGTGTGTGTCCAAAATGTCCACGTTTGTCAGTTTACATACAGTATGTACACATGTGTGCATCTGTGTGTGTGGTGAGAACATGCATATGTACAGTTAGTGTGTGTAGGTGTGTGTTGCAGTGGTTGGTAGTGATGTGAATCTTTATTAGGATCCCTATCATTATTCTGTTGCTGTCCCTGCCACCTTGTCCCGTTCTTCTGCGTCTTCCCCTGGCTCTTTCTGCACCACACACACACAAACACACGCACACACACGCACACACACGCGCACACACACACACACACACTTAAAGACACGTCTCACTATAGCTCAGTCCTCTTTTTGACCAACCTTTATTCTCGCTCTCTCATCCCTTCATCTTCTTGCTTTTGTTCACATCTGCAGAGCGACAGAGTAAACAACTGACTGCTGTCACAGCATGTAGCCATCCCACACACACACACACACACACACACACACACACACACACAGGGTAAGAGAGTAGCCGATCTGCCCAGAGTCCCAGAACACCAAACACACATTGCTGAGGATTGCTTTACCCTTTCACAGTGGCACGCACACATGCATGCACACAGTGATCTGAAGCCGCAGTTAACATCTATGTGTGGACGGCCACAGCACACGGCCCAGGGCGAGCTGGCTCCAAACACAAACAGAGACAGGGATGGACGGATGGACGGTGGCACAGACCGACAAAGAGCTGTCGTCTCTGCATTAACACACAAACGATGCAGAGAAAAAGAAAAGAAAAGACTAAAGCATCGACCCGCAGCGGTAAAAATAGCTCTCGCCTGATCCGCTCTTAAATGGATTCTTTACACGTCTGTTAGTCTGTAAATATTTGTAAGACATCGGGCGTGATGCATTTTCAACAAACATTAGAGGCATAAACAGGGAAAACTGACAGCATTTTTATCTGTCAACATCACTTGGAGGATTAATAACCTGATTTGAGGCTGCATTCACCCACACTTACTGCACCCAGGACCACAGGGACCGCGCTTATAAGTCTCACATCAAAACAGACGAGTGATCCTTCGCTCAGTGTCTTCTCTCCATTGCTGTGCTTCTGTCACTCTCACTCACTCGAGCGTTATTTACTACTTTAGCTCCTGCTGCTACACGGCCTGATAATGCAATGATTGTTGAACATTTACCATTTGTATTGTTGTCTTGACATCAGCCTATTACCCATTGTTTGTCCATTCATAACCAGGGGATGAGCAGAGGACAAATCTGTATAAATGAGCAAAGACAAATGCTTTCGTGCAGAAAGTCATATTTCATGTCCTTCACAGATTTTTGTCTCAGCATGTTAAGTCTTATTTCCAATTTGCCCAGGTTATTCCATTTTAATCTGGCAGCTTAGTTGGGTGTCTCGCATACTGTATGTCCCTGCTTGTTCTTTCAGATACAGGCCTATTTCAAATGGTGGCTTCCAGCTGCATCAGAACTGTGTTAAAATTTCCTGCTGTGTCATATGAAAAGTTTTCCACCCACAGCTGTTATCACCTGAGTACGTTCAGCGGTTTCAGAGGTGCTATTTAAAAAAGCAGAAGAAGGTGCTCTGCATCATCATCAAAACAACAAATGAGGGACCGATTCTGGGAAAAGTAGTTTTATATCCCTCTAGTAGAGTTGCACAATCTATGCCACAGTGCTTTAAAGCTGTGGTGGAGACTCTGGTGGCTCAACACAGTTTTTACTTCAATTTATCACCATTTCTTCTTCATCTTTATGTAAAGATGGAGGATGTGTCTACACTTCCGACCAATCACGATTCAGCCTCTGCTGTCAATCATGATGTCTCTCCTTGTTTTAATAGCATCAAAAAAGTGATTAAAACCAAACTTGACTAAATATCTAATTAAAACCAGAATGACAGAAATGATATTAAAGAAAACAATATATGATGTTTAATTTGTGTCCCATCTGCTAACATGGAGGAGGCTGGGTTTTCAATCTACACTGAAGCCAGCCACCAGGGGGCGATTGAGACCTTTTTTACATGCCGAGGCTGTGTGCTGATATGGATTGCAAATGAACCGTTAAAATTGCAAAATGTTGACATTTACAAAAGCTGATAACACTTTGTCTCAGCTCACTCGCTGCTCTACAATCTCCAGCCTACCCGGAGATTTAACAGTTTCTACTCTTGTTCTTGCTTCAGCTCTTAAATTACAGACTAAAGCCACTGATCATTGGTCATACTCCAAAGTGCGCTCTGAACATCACATCATAGTTATTTTATCCCGATGCTATTCTTGCCACCTTACAGATTTTTTTCTCGGCAGCGTGGGCTTCGACTCTGCTCTCGCTTTCTGTCTATTCAAATTCTTTCGTGACAGCAAATGTTTTCTGAAAGTGTGGAAGACAACCAGAAGAAGAAGAGAGAGTTGTAAAGTTTGCTTCAACAACTTTTAAATGAGGAGCTGCTAAAAGCCTCCAAACCACTTTCACTACAGTTCTTCTCACAATACACACCACAAAGTATAAAACAATGCACGTCTTTTAAGCTGCTGACTCATGGTTTTCGCAGAACGCCTGAGATAGGGAACGATTTGTAGATGACCAAATGTCAAAATCTTGTACTTCCATTGTTCTTCAAATGCAGAGTAGTAGAAAATCATACTCACAATAGTGCTCCTCATTTTACCGAGGACTTCTGAGTAGCCACACCATGGACCTCTGAGAGTCCCTGAACCATATGTAAAACCACTTGTCTCCTCATCAGGAGCAAACCACCCAACATCAATCAATCACAGCAGTTTTAGACAGTTCACATCGCTCTCACCGCAGCAATGTGCTGCTGCTACATGTCTCACTGATGGACGTAAAGTTCCTACCTGTTTCCCTGGAGATCTGTATAAATGCCTCCACGCCGCTCTCGCCGTAGTTGCCCTCTGAGGCGAGAGTGGACACGTAGTTCCACTCCATCGCAGTGACGATGTCCATCATGGCCTGGGCCTGGTAGGAGTCCGGCGGCACCACGCGGGAGAAGAAGTCATAGCGGGTGTTGTCGCTCAGCTCCGGAGCCGTGGAGGCGTAGCTGACCTGGGGGATCTGGACAAGAGGAAGAGAGGAACAAAGAGAGAATATTGAGGAAAGAAAATACATTTTGTAAACTGCAGCCTTGGCAAGTACCTCGGCAAACTCTAACAGTGGTAACCATAATCAAGAAGAGGAGGAGGAAGTGCACCCAAGTGCAGCGAGAAGAGGAGAAAGCAGATGCCAGCATCACCCCAATATTCAGTTATTTTTCATTCTACACATTAAAATGTGTAAGATTGGAGGATGGTCAGTTTTCTAAACCAATCCCTTCATTTCCTTTTCAGCAACACAATCAATTGTTCAGCTACCACAAGTAAAAACTAACAAAGAAAAAATAGGTGTGTCATGCTGAGATAATTCTTTCATCTATATAACAATCATCAAGCATATTTTCACTGGAGTGCTGTATATGTAGAAAAAGGCTTATAAACGCTCCTCACTCCCCAAAGGATCCGTGATTCATAAATCTTTGGGATGTGCAGGGAAGTTCAAATTAAAGTGTAGACATTTTGTTGGTTCAGAGGCGTGAAAGAACTCGGTATGTGCAGGTGGAGAGAAACAACAGCGGTGAATAATTGGAAATCTGAATGTGGGGTTGACAGGGAGACGGGGAGGCAACAGAAAGGTAAATGATGCTGATGCAAAGTACTATTCATCCTTCAAGGCCGATGTCACAGCCGACATATCGAGGGGTTGGAGACAGGAAGATGTGATGTAGGAAGACAAGACACAAAAGAGACGGCAGCGACGAGGCAGGAGGGACAGACTGACAAAAGGCACAGGAGGAAGATGGAGGGACGGAGAGACCACAGATTTGACAGAATGACAGCGGACACATACACACAGGTATTACTGGTGATAGGCGGCGTTACAGGCCGAAGGTGTTACATGGCTGACAGGCAGATTGATTTTTCTCCTGACAGAGGGGGACAGCGAGGTAAGACCCACACACAACTGTACGACAGACATCTTATCGGAGACGCAAGTCATTAGCATTCACTAGACGCAAGACTCAGCTGCCAAACTAAACCAAACATAAGGCGTGTCCGCTGTCTGTCTTCACGCACACACAAGTAAATACAAATGCCTGCAATTGCTGAGCACAGCAAATTCTGTTGGTGCTGCATGAGGAGATTTAAGACGGACAGTGTGTGTGTGTGTGTGTGTGACTTGAATGTCTCTAAAGCCCATCACTCACTGTCTTCATTCTGTCTGAGCGTCAACTGAGGTCCCCACCACCCCACGTCCACACTTGCCTTTGCCATTTTAAAAGGTCAGGGACCTATCCTGAGTCTGGCAGGATTTCTTAAATGGGTCGTCTTTG